AAGGTCCGCTACCTTGGGGTTAGCAAGATCCGACCAAAACCCGAGTGTTATATGAGTTTAAGAGTTTTCCCAAAAATTATGGAATGCTCTTTTTAACTCCCACTCAAGCAAAGAATTCTCAAGCCATGCCATGACTATTTATAAGGAAGTATGCCTTGTGAATTTCACTCATCTTTCAATGTGGGACTTTTCACAAAAAGATCCCACATGGAAAGATTGGTGAATTCAACCCTTAGTTAAATAAACAAAGGAACAAGTAACAAGTGTCACATGGTTAGGTGTGGACCACTTTCTCACTTGGTCCCCAAGGCATTTCACATGCAATGTGAACTAACCATGTGTCACCCAACCTTGAGCCCCAAGTTGGGTTCGGTTGGCCCATTTTATTTTGGCCCGTGTCCATGACCCATCAACCCGGGTCCACGGCCATTGCCACATGTGTCGCCACCGTGGCGCGCCGTCACCATGGCGCCGCCACGTGGCACGCTGCCACTTGGTGGCTGCTACTAGGTGGCTGCCAACGTGGCGGCCACGTATGCTGCCACGTGTGCTGCCGCATGGCGTTTTTCCATGTGTGCTGCCACATGGCATGCTCCTATTGGGCATGCATTCCCAGCCTTTCGCGTGGCTAGGATTTTACTTGTTACTTGATGCATTTTCCCGTCTCGCCAAATCCTAAATTTTGGCTCGACATTTGAGATTCTCCGACGCTCGGTTTCGACGCTCCAACCTCGAATTTCCGACGTCTAAATGTTTAACACTCGGGCGACGAATTAATTTCTTCCGAATTAATTCGTCGAGTTGGTTCGTATATTTTGCTTGGGTGTGACCCGAAGGGTTCAGTCAAGATTAAGCTGTAATATTAATTATATTAGTATTATTGATCGGAAGCGGCCTCCACCCAGGCATTCCGATCACTTGACCTTACTGAATATATTAGCTTTCTAATAATTCTGAACCCGCTATCAGAATAATACACTTATTCGAAGGACACCATTCTTTTCACAAAGGTCGTTCCATTTTAAAATAATCCAAAGGTCGTTCTATTTATGAAAGACCACTGAAAGGTAATATTATTGTTGGCAAATTTTCCTTTCCTTTTAAGGGATTAGTTTACCTTATTTTTGTTGACCCTTCTATATATATATATTTTTTTTTGAAGAACCTTCTAATCTAATCTACTCTATATGATTTTCTCAAAAAAAAAAAAAAAAAAAAAAAAAAAAAAAAATTCTACTCTATATGATCTATATATTTTTTTTTGAAAAAAATATTACATCTTTATATTTTTTTTTCATTTTCCCCCCTTCCTCCATTAAATCAGGCCAATGTGAGTCCATGACCCTCACTACCTTCCTTTCCAGCCACCTTCTCCTTCCCTTCCCTTTCCGCCAAAGCTCCCTAAAATCAATTTTTATTGTAAGGGGAAAATAATTAAAGGGAGGATGGAGTTGAGAAATTGTGGTGGTGGTGGTGGTAGAGGTAAGACGAGGAGGATATAAAACAATGGTGGCAAAGAGAGAATAGTGGTGGCGGTGAGGGGATAAAGAGTAAAATAAGAAATCAATGACGAAAAAGTGAGTAAGCGTGGAATATTACATCAAAATTTAATCTAAAAAAAAAAAGGATATTTATAACTTGCACACACTTCAACTCTTCAAAGCATCTTGCATTTCTTTTGGGTGTTCAAAGGGAGTATTACTATACACGAACAATTGTATATTGAAGAGACAAGGGTGTAATTACACGTAAATGTATATTTTGAATTTAGAGTAACGTATTTGAGTGATTAATATATAATTCAATTGGGTGATCAAATAGTATTATTGAATATTCAGTGGTACTATATATATGTATGTATTCATTGGTACTAATTATGTGTATATGTATTATCACTAAATAGCCAATTGTATTATACATAGCATAACCTTTTAGTCGTACAATTAAAAGTGGTCTCATTTATTTATTTTTCTCATCCTTTCTCTCTTTTTCATGTGGTTTTCAATATTTTAGTAGTGGTTATGCATTTGTAAATGCATAACAATACTGCATTACTACTTTATGTCTTGCATTGGATTTGTGTACCTCTAATAATGCCCACGTAGATTGTCAAGATATGCAAATAAGTTTGCTTTTTCGACTATAAGCTTAGGGGTAGGTGGGTGATCGATGATTTGATGTTAGTAACTAAGGATGACAATTCAATTCGAGTTCGATTCAAATCCGATCCAATCTAAAGAAAAAAAATACGATCCAAATCTGTTTAAAATTAGTCTTAATCCGAATCCGATAAATTAGATTTGAATATTAATGAAAGGCGGATCAGACTTGGACCTTATGCAAAGTCCGACCAAGTCCGATTCGACTCCGAGTCTAAGAGTATGAGTATATGCTTTATAACTTGGGACAACTGCTTGCTTGTTTTATAGCAAAATTTTACTATGTAACCTAGTTCATAATCTAAATAAGTTATAATTATACATTACTCGACATGACTATACAAACAATTATAAATATATCACACATTACAACAACAAAAAAAATAATAAAAAAAATATTCGGATAATTTCAGAGGTCCGAATAAACGGACTGGATTCGGCTCCAAAAATTACAAGTCAAATTCGGACTTTTTGGATTCAGACAAATCCGAGTCCAGGGTCTATTTACTAAACGGATCGGATTCGGATTTAGCCGCATCCAACCCGAATCCCATCTATTGTCATTCCTATTGTAACTTATATATCATGAACACCAAGCCTCAAAGTGGATATTTTGTGACAAACTACCTAATAAAGCCTATATTTTGTGAGAAACTACCTAATAATAAAACGAAAATTTGTCAAAAATAACACCACCTTTCATTGGTCTTCCAAGAATAGAACGACCTTTAGATTATTCCAAAATAAAACGACCATTGATACACATCTGCCAAAAATGAAACGTAACCTGTTGGTAACCTGTTAAAAAGGTTACTAATGACACGTGTCCCAATGTCATTAGTCAATTTTTTAAAGATTTTTTTTTTCAAAAACAAAACCTTAAAATAAAAAAACAATACTTAAAAAAAAGGAACTGAAACAAAAAAAAAAAAAAAAAAATCCCTCCCTCCTTGGTAGCCAACCCCACCGCTGGGCCTCCGCATAACCACTAGCGGCCAGAGCCCCAACCCCGGCGTCGGCGGCACCCCTCCTAACCCAGACCCCGACCACCAGCTCCAACCACTGAACCACCTTCCTCCTGCCCTAAAACCCTCCTCATTCACCTCGAAAACCCTCCTCCCTCCCCTCGAAAACGTTCCTCTCCCCACCGGCCGGCGCCAAATCACCTCAACTATGCCGGCGAACCAATTTTACCCTTCCGACGACTTTCTCCACCCCTTCCCCCCTCGAATCACCACCCGAAACATTAAACCCCAAATTCTTGTAGTGGTTTTTGGGTGGTTCGGTCAATTGTGGTGGCTTTCCGACCACAATCTCCCTTCCCCTCCCCGAATCCGACCACCAACCCCCTACCCCTTCCTGATTCCAACCACTACCTCCATGTTTCCGGCCGACCCGACTCCAGCTGTAGCCCGCAAACCCCAAATTCATTCCAAATTTGGTTTTAATTATTTTTTAAAAGTGTTTTTTATTTATGTTTTTTGTTTAAAAAAACATTATTATCAGAGAAAAATCTTAAAATAAAATTAAATTATATAAACCAATCACACATGTGACACGTGTCATATGTAACCTGTAAAACATGTTACAAGTTTTTGGTTTCATTTTTGGCAGATATGTATCAAAGGTCGTTTTTATTTTGGAATAATCTAAAAGTCGTTCTATTCTTGGAAGACCATTCAAAGGTGGTGTTATTTTTGACAAATTTTCCTAAAAAAAATGTTGTAAGAAACTACCTAATAAAAGATAAAATGTTGTAATATACTATCTTTGACCGAAATTTCACCGTTGACTTACTTTTAGGATGTTGATCACCTTAGAACACCCCCAAAATCACCGTTAGGGTTGGTTTTCAATGTGATAAGGTTATTTTCGGGGTGGTTGGAGGATATTTCGAGTTGGTAAGGATAGAATAGCGCTATCGAGATGGTGGTTTTTTCAGGGTTAGAGGTGATGGTTTTGGGGTTGAAAGGTGGTTTAGATGTAGTGGAGACGATTTCAAACAAGTTGTGATTAGTTTTGGGAGTGAAAGCGGTGGTTTTGGGAGTGTTTTGAGGTCGATCAACGGTGAAAATACGGTATAGGTAGTTTTTTACAACATTTTACCTTTAATAGGTAGTTTACTATAACATTTTTTTTATTAGGTAGTTTCTCTCAAAATATGGATTTTATTAGGTAGTTTTTGACAAAAAGCCCTATAATTAATTAATTAATTACGTAACAAATATGAAATAAGTACTCGGGAAAAAACTTCTCTTTATATATATATATAACAAAGTTTAGCACATAAATATATATACATAAAAATTATTTTAAAAAATTCAAACAAACCGTGCATCGCCTAGGCTTCATCTAGTATATACTATATAATCATATTAAGAAACATCTCTTAATTTTTTTTATTTTATTTTGTTGTTTTCACTCGATTCATCCTTTTAGCTAATTTGATTCGGGCTTAGTTTTGGGTGATTAGGTTTTATTCTCCTTCTAATTATTGTTGTGGGGGATCGATACACGCAGTCTTTTCTATCAAATGCATCCTCAATCACCACTGCATCGACAATCAATTGGTAAGAAATATCCCTTATTTTATACGCGGTCAACCATCAACGGAAGGGTAATTCGTGTATACCGTGTATTATAGAGTAGATGTATTTATAGAGCACCCACAAAAAAAAGAGCCGTTGATGGAATCAAACGCAAATCCAACGCGAAAACAGAAAAGAGAAATCAGAATGTTCATGAATGGTGTCCTAGCTAGGATAGGAGTAATATATATTATACAAAATACAGCAGTCATCATCCTTAATAATAATAATAAGTAATTTGGGGCATAGTGAGTCAGCGTTGATTTGTTCTAATCTTGATAACTTTTTCGAAGCTCCTTCCTCCCCAATTCTATAATCTCCCAAGTTGATTTAAATATCCTCCTTTTCCCTATCTACTTGACTATACATTTGAGTATGTATGTGTATATAAATATAAATAAAAGAGTTTATAAAAAAACATACCAAAGACAGCTAATCTATATTACTGGTATCCTTAAATTATCTATCGGTCAACAATATACATAAACAGAATCGGAGAAATAAATAAATAAATCAATCAAATGATGTGGCGGCGGACGGCGGAGATAGTGGTGGTGATGATAATAAGTATATTATTGAGGGCGTCAGCGGCAACGGAAGGGAGGAGAAATAATAAGGGAGATGGAGAAGACAAGAGCAATAATAATAAAAATAAGAACGCATATGCAACGATGATGTACATGGGAACACCGAGGGACTATGAGTTCTATGTTGCAACACGTGTGATGATGAGATCTCTCCTTCAACATCAGGTTCAAGCTGATCGAGTTGTCATTGCCTCCGTTGACGTTCCCCTTCGTTGGGTGCGCGCCATGTAAGCTTTTTCATTCAACCTTCTTTTATTGCTGTTTGCTATTATAATCCTGGAATTCCTGCAATTTCAATGGTGGATTTCAAGCTTTTTCGGGTTAGGGAGAACAATGGTGAATTCGCGAATTGGATGATCAGAGAGAAAACATAACTTCCCAGAAAATATTACCATTAGACATTAATTAGTTCCAAAAACCATGGGATGTGGTCTTTTCGTTAATTTTTTTTTTTTTTTGTTTTTTTTTTTTTTTAAGATTATTGATTTCAACAAGTATATGTACATGTATTCCATTACTTAAAAAAAAAAAATACTAATATACATTGTATATATAAATCACTACGTGGTATATATTTTTGCATAATTTGTATATATAAAAACCTGCATTTATGTTAGAAGATCAACTCAACCAAAAGCTACTACAATATAGTACATCGTACTAAGTACTCAATACTATATAGTATATACTAGAATACTATAATAAACAAAAGAGCTCACGAGAAATGTATATAATTATCATTGGCAGGGAAGTAGAAGATGGACTGAAGGTAGTTAGAGTGGAGAACATATATAACCCTTACAGGGCTGACAATCCTAACGACAGATTCAAGTTAACTATGAACAAGCTCTACGCTTGGAACCTAGTCAACTATGAAAGGGTGATCATGCTTGACGCCGACAATCTTTTCCTTCAAAACACCGATGAATTGTTTCAATGTGGTCAATTTTGTGCTGTCTTCATCAATCCCTGCATTTTCCACACAGGCCTCTTTGTCTTACAGGTATGTATGTTCTGCATCTACATGCTTCATTTTTTTGCCTAGTTTTGCACTTTTCTCATCATATCATAGATTTCAAAATATTAATCGCTGCCAAACAAAGGCTATTGAGTACAGAGTGATAAAAGATTTTTTATTAATTATGTTTGTTTGTTGACCCTGGAAATTTGACAACATATGCAGCCATCAGCAGAAATTTTCAAAGACATGCTTCATGAAGTTGAAATTCGAAGGCCAAACTCAGACGGAGCAGATCAAGGATTTTTGGGTAGTTACTTCTCCAACTTGCTTGATATGCCCATGTTTCATCCACCGCCAAATGGAACCAAACTCCAAGGCCAGTACAGGCTTCCTTTGGGATATCAAATGGATGCTTCTTATTATTGTAAGTTATGATTTAGTTTAGTTCCATGCATTAATCTAGCTCTATTTCAAAATATCATTTTAATGACTAAAAACTCTAGCAGAAGTTAAATGTGATATGGCAGAGCAAACAGTTAAAACTGAAAGCAAACTCTTCTTAGTTCAGAATTAATATTATGTCTAAATGTACATGAATTTATAATCCTATTCGTGTTCCAGACCTGAAACTCCGCTGGAATGTACCTTGTGGACCAAATAGTGTCATAACCTTCCCTGGAGCAGTTTGGATGAAGCCGTGGTATTGGTGGTCATGGCCTGTTCTTCCTCTTGGTTTCTCATGGCATGAACAGCGTCGCAATTCTCTAGGGTAAGCTTTTGGAACTCTTTGTTCATGTCGTCTTTATTTCAAAAGACACTATGTATTAGAGTGATGCGTATTTTACTGGTCATGACACAAAACAAATAATTAAAGCTCAACTATTCTTTTTCTAGGTATGGTGCAGAGATGCCCATGGTGATACTCGAGGTGATTCTTTACTTGGGAATTATAGCCCTGACTCGTTTAGCTCGGCCAAACTTCTCTAAACTTTGCTATCGCCGTTTTGACAAGAGTGTAACGGTGTACCATGCAAGTTTAAAATTCCTGGCCTTGGCATCCATTCTTGCAGCATATATTGTTCCCTTTTTATTAATCCCTTACACCATTCATCCTATGGTAGGGTGGAGCCTTTATTTGTTAGGGTCTTTCTCTCTTTGCTCAATAGCGATCAATGCCTTCCTCTTGCCAACACTAGCTGTGCTGACCCCATGTATTGGCATATTTGGGGTACTCCTAGTCATGGCATGCCCTTGGTACAAGGATGGGGTTGTGAGGGCACTTTCCGTATTTGCCTATGCCTTCTGCGCTTCTCCTCTTTTGTGGGTTTCTTTCACTAGAGTTCTGGCGACTCTTCAAGTTTCTTTAGAAAGGGAAGCATTCTTGCCCAGCAGATTGAATGAGTCTCCACCACCTCCTGGGTTTAACAAGCTCTACTGATTAATTGATATTGAACCAATTAACCAAGTATTGTCGAGATTCTCATCAAAGGTCATAAATTGCTGGAATTTCACCCCAGAAATGAAAAAAAATGTCTGTTGTCAATCATAATACAATGTTGTGGAATGGGAAAGCAGCAGTCAGCAGTAGATGAGCTCTAACACATATTCAATTAGTTGAAAAAAAGATTTTTGTAGTGTTGGAAAAAATTGTACTTCGTATGTTCATATAATGTACAGAATACATTGAAAATTGATAGCATCTTTAAATAGTGAACACAATAATTATTTTGCAATTTATAATAGTGTATATGTTTATTCTTATGCTAAATTATCAATGACAAACTCCATAGCTCCCTGAAAGTATTGTTTATATAAAAGATGCACTTCATTTAAAATAAATGTAAATGAAAAAGTTTTACATGTAAATGGTTAAACACTGGAAACCCAAAAATGAGATGCGCAAGTTGAATCAAAATTCAGCAGAGCCTGGTGTCCGAGGGAATGGTATTGCATCTCTGATGTTATCAATCCCAGTTGCAAATTGAACCAGCCTCTCAAAACCTAGTCCAAAACCCGCATGCGGGACTGCCAAGCACAAAACAAAGCATTAAAGATTGGGATCCGAATAAACTGAAGCAAATGACAGCTGAACTCCAAATTTCTGTCTACTGATTCAGGTCCTATGTAATTTGTCCCAATCCCTCCTGACTTTTGACACCTTATCAACATACTCATTTAAGGTGGTGAAAATGTTGGAGACACTGAGGCTCCATTTCATTTCCCCATTTCCCTTCAATAAAGATGGTATGCTACATTTTCCTCTTTACGCTTCATGTCTCTATTTTATCTCCTCTATCCTTCCCCTCCCTTGTACTTCCAATTTTCCTTTTTTACAAATTATGTTTTCCATTATAAATTGCTTTCAATCAAAAGAAACGGAGCCTGAGGCGAAAGGTAAATTGTGTAATTTGGAAATGCTATTGACGTCCAGCATCTCAATGTTGGGACATCAATTGAGCAACAAAGCTTCTGTCATTTCACATAAACATTCACATGGTCTTGAACTAGCCTATAAGGTTCAGATTTTCAGATAATGAGCACTCCATAACTTCAATAAAAAAATTAATATCAATGTTGGGACATCAATAAAGCAAAAATGCTTTCAATAGGCATGCTTTTTTGGTCGTTGAAGATCCTTGCAATCCGTCAAAAGAATATATATGCCAGAAAATAAGAGCAGCCCTAAGAATATGAGCAGTCACAAAAATTTGAAAATCTGTACAGCAAGAAAACAGATGGCAAGAATTTAACCTGATCCATAACGACGCAAGTCAAGATACCACCAATAGCTTTCCCTTTTAAGCTTTAATTCATCTAAACGGGTTTCAAGACATTCCAAACGTTCCTCTCTTTGACTGCCACCAATAAGCTCACCTACCTGACATAGAGGCAACAATATGTCAAGAAAAATAGATCATACACATTACAGAAGAGAAAGATCACAATGAGTATACTTGAGCCAACTCTCAACCACAGGTTTATTTGACATCTTAAAAATTTGTAGAACAAGAAGGTAGAAAGTGCTCAGCGTTTTAGGAGATAACGTTGGAACATCGATAGATAAATGTCTTATAGGTACATATATGAGTTAAGGATTAGAATAATAATAATACTTGGTGTTAATGCAAAGCAGTTTACACAATTTGAAACAACGTAAGGTAGTGTTTGGATTTAGGGATGTCAATGGGGCGGGGCGGGGTGGGGCGGATGTTGGCCTTCCCATCCCCATCCCCACCTAATATTTCCATCCCCATCCCCATCCCCATCCCCGCGGCGGGTCCAATTTTCATCCTCATCCCCGCCCCACCGGGTACAACTCCAAAACCATCCCCGCCCCACCCCCCACTTGGATATCCATCCCCACCTAACCCCCACCAAAGACCCGCTTAATCCCTACCCAAGATCCACCTAATATCCATATCTCAAAATACACAATCTTACATAATTAATACGAATTATAAATAAAACATTCTATACACATTTTTGTGTTATAATATAAGTGTCGTACAAAGTATTATAATTAATAATGTATTTCATGTAATTATTTTATAAATAGAATAAAAGTATGTAATTTTGTTTTAAAAGATATATAGATGTGGGTATGAGGTGGGGATGGGGCGGGTACGAAGTGGGGCGGGTGGGGCAGGGCGGGGATGGGGCGGGTACAACTTAAAATCCACCCCCGCCCCATTACCCATGGCGGGTATGGTTTTTATCCCCATCCCCGCCCCACCACCCGCCAAACCGAGACCCATCCCTGCCCCATTGGGGCGGGGATGGGGTGGGTCTCCTACTTGACCCGCCCCATTGACATCCCTATTTGGATTCAACCATTTCATTTCAAATATGGAATTTGAAATCTAGAATTGCAATTACTCACATTCAATTATAAATTATCTCCTTGGGAGAAATCAGAATTTCAAATTTATCATTTCAAAATTATTTGCCATATACCATCGCCACTTACCAATACTAGCCATTCTCTCTCCTCTTACGTTGCTTCTCTTAGCTCTCTTTGCACCTTAAATGTTTATCCAAAATTCCCAAATTGGTGAAAGTATGGCTCAAAATAACTTACATCTGTATATCTTTTTATTTCTCCTTTTCTAAAACTGAGATTAGGTTTATGAATTTCAAGACAATGCTGCCGTTGAAGGACTGAATAACATATTCTTGCAACGGAGGTGATAGTGGTGAAATTGCAACGATGAAGGAGATAGTTCACGAAGGTGAAGGCAACGGCTATGATGGTTGTCGACGTTACGTCAACAATTACGATGGTTGTCGACGTTACGCCAACAATTACGATGGTTGTCGACGTGAAGACAAATGAGGTCGTTTATAGTGGGTATACCGCCATAATTAAAGCGATAAAGATTGAGTAACTAGAAAATGTTTTGCAATTGGGGAAAATCAAAAAGGAAAGAGATGAAATGGTTTGAAGGATTTGAAATGCCATCAATTGATACTGGATTTCAAATTCTGCAAACTGAACCTTAATAATGAAAGACTAGAATTTGAGTCAAATCCAAATGCGAATTCTATTAATTTCCAAACATTTGAGGAAATTCCATCATTTGAAATAAAATGATAGTTTCCGAGCAGGCCATAAGGGAATGACGATTGATTTAAGCTTTGCCTTTCTCCATTATGTGAAGACGTGCCCGATCGAGAAAGCAATATGAATTTTTGTTTGCTTCCTTTGAGAAAATTCATTAATCGTATCTTCTTTGTGTCCCAATAATTATATCACGCTACCATGTTGCTTTGTAGAGGGTCGCTAATAAGCTATTAGTAAAACGACTAGTCGACTATGTTACGTGCCTATAGGAAATATACGATCCCTTTTATTCCTCATCCTCTGATATATTCTATTAGATAAGTTGGGGTTATCATATCTAATTTTTATATTATATAAATAAAATAAAAAAGTAAATGTGATGGAAGATGGTGAAATATTATTATTGTTATTATAGAATACTCATAGATGTTAAATGAAATAGTGGGCCCAAAAAATAAGAAATATTTCAAATTAAAATTTAAAATTATCAGTGCAGCCATGCCTAAAGAGGTATTGTTCAAATTATTATGCATGAGATGGAAAAGTATGACACGTAAATAACCAACTCTCATCATATAGGAAACAAGTAGCTGGTTTATCGCACTCGCCTTTCTAGGCGGTTACCAATTTCCAACATAGAGTGACCCTTCCCTGTATTTCATTAATAAACCCTCTCTTGCCCTCCATAAACCAAAACATTTTAAAGTTTTAAATTTAGATTGGGTGCTTCAATAAACTCATACTTCCTCCGTTTTATTTATATTACAACAAAGATGAAATTACGCATCACAAAGCACATTTTATATGCTAAATATCTATAATTGTGTAAGAGTAAAAATTACTTCCTCTGTCACGCAACATTTTGAGTAGACACGCTTGCCGATGCATATGTTTGACCGTCGATATTTTTTATTATATATTTATAAAAGCTATAAAATTTATAATAATAAACTATACATTAAAATAGAGCCAACAATATCTTACATGATTACATTGATTTTTATTATAATAGCTAAAAAAGATGGTCAAAGTGAGATGTGTGAATATGTAATGAACCCAATCCAGCCACTATTGGTGTACACGATGCGCGGGAAAGGACGTCAGCAGCAACAAATCTAGAGAAGGCATTACTTTGCAAAAGGCCAAAAGTAATTAAGAAGAATGAAGGAAGGAAGATCAACCATCTTTAGCAATGTTCATTTATGGTTTTTCCATATTAGTAAAGTAGTCACATGTACTGCCCTTAAGGTCAGACCATTAGTATAAGTATGATAGTTTAGTCTGGCAAGTGTTTTTATCCAGAAAATTGTGAGGAAACCTTAGAGAGTTGCAACCTCAAGTTGCTTTAGAGACTGGAAGCCTCAAGTTGCTATTGTATCCCCTGTCCGAATTTCCTTCTTGTTCGATTATTAATCAATTGGTTGCCGAGCCTTCCTTAATTAATCGTGTTAATTATAAATTAATTGAGTCAATCTATAACAAACTTGGTATCAGAGCGGTCGATCATGGCAGGACCATCGTTGTCCCAATGTGCAGGTGCGGTGGATGGAAAGCTCGAGGAAGTCAAGACGCGGTTGAAATCCCTTGAAGAGAAACTCACCAACCAGGACGCCTCCATTGGTCGGGCAGTGGCAAATGCAGTTGGTCGAACTATGGCTGACACTCAAAAAAATATCACCGACTGTTTCACGTCGTTTTTCGAGGCTGAGCGAAAGCGGCAAGAGGAAGACAGAGTAAAACTCGAAGGGCGAGTCGATCACTTTCGCAACGATTAGGAGGACCAGGCCAACATTGCTGCGAGGGAACAAGAGAAGTTCAGGGAGGAAATGCGCGCCGTCGTTGCCGCGGTCGAGCAACCCCGACCAGCGCCACCTCCACCCTTTCAACCACACATTCCCGTAATTGAAGATGGAAGCGAAAACCATGGTGAGAATGAGGTACGAACCCCGAGGGTCTTCGGGATGCCGAATTGGAGGAGGGATCCTAGGGGGTGGAACGAGGACCAGTTCGACGGAGGCGGAGACAATCGGTGGCGACATAAGAAACTCGACATGCCTTGAAGGCAAAGACCCGGATAATTGGGTGATGAGGGCAAAAATGTACTTCTATAAACTGACGGAGGAGGACATGGTGACGGCGGCGGTGGTGTCCATGGACGGCGCCGCGCTCCAATGGTACCATTGGGAGCAACAGAGAAGGTCGTTCGCTAGTTGGCAGATCTTAGGCAACGGGTTTTGAAGGAATTCCAACCAACAAACTCCGATACCTTGCACGAGCAATGGTTGGCCGTCACGCAAACCACCACTGCGGAGGAATACCTGCGGAGGTTCATTGAACTCGCCTTTCCTCTCGAAGACGTGCCAGAGAGCCTCATGATAGGGCAATCTGTGAAGGCCGAACTCCGATTGAAGAATCCGGCCACTCTCGAAGATGCCATGGAGTTGGATGGGCAAATTGAAGAGCGAAATAAACCAGCAATAGAAGTGGGGGAGGCCTGATACAATCCTATGGGCTACCCACAGCCCCTACCCACACTCCAATGTGGCCTAGGCCCCAGAATCTCAGGGCTTCATCAACATGGGCCGGCCCACAACGTCTCAAAGTTCCCAGAAGGTGGGAAATGGACCATGTTGGCTTACGAAAAGCGAGCTGCAGGAGAAAAGAGCCAAAGGGCTCTGCTTCTGTTGTGACGAACGGTGGGGAATTGGGCATCGGTGTAAAAGAAAAGAAATGAGTGTGTTAATTGCCGGAAGTAGGGGTGAAGAGGAGTAGATGAACATTGGCGACTTGGAGGAAAAAGAAGAGTGGGAGGAGGGCGACACCAACGTGGAAGTCTCATTGTGTTCGGTTGTGGGAATTTCGAACCCAAAAACCATGAGATTGAGAGGGGTTATCAAAGGGAGGCAAGTGGTGGTAATGATCGATCCGGGAGCTACACACAATTTCATATCGACATCAGTAGTAGAAGCGGCTAAGATACCACTCACGGAGGGAGGAGAATTCGGAGTGTCACTATAGAATGGTGATACCGTGCGTGGTAAAGGGAGTATGCCAAGGAGTGAGAGTGAAGCTTAATGGTGGAGTTACGGTGGTGGAAGATTTTCTTCCACTCGAGCTAGGCAACACCGATCTAATTCTTGGGGTTCATGGAGAAATTAGGGGCGGTCACCACTAATTGGAAGACTCGTGAAATGCGGTTCACGGTGGCCGGAGTGCCGGTGGCACTCACTCGAGACCCGTCATTAGAAGCGGCCCTTATTTCACTCAAGGCCATGTTCAAGACCATAAGTAAGCAAGGCAGTGGGCTTTAGGTTGAA